ATTTCTACGAGTTGGTGAATACCCATTAAATACAATGAAACATAAACATTTTCCCACCTCCATGAATGAACGAAAACTTATAAAAGTAAACAGACAAAAATCGCCATCAATAGTTTAGGAAAAAAAGTCCACTCGTTCCTCATATATTCGAAGCACAAAATTTGACATTAAATAATGTTTGTCTTGACTTAAATGATTAAAACGTGTAGTCTGTAATTCTCACTCAGCCCAGTACATGTAATTCATTTGTAGCTTCCAATGGCATTCCATGAACAGCTACCATGTAAGTCGTAGTAAAACTTGCATTTAACTTCTGATACCATGGATCAATTTCAGTAATTATTTTTCACAGATGAGTGGAAGAAACTGTTGTTTTTTTAAAGACATACATTATACATACTTCATTGGTGTATCAAATTTGACTGCTTTTAAGGAATAAAAATCCTTAATCCCATTCACTTTCTTTTTGACTCATCCTTTATAATTATGTACATGTACCATGCTTATGGGCCTAGAGTACTCTGGATACAGAGACATGTAACATACATACCCCAGTACATTCTCTCAAGCTGCACAGTGTGTGTGTAACTGTAAGTGTGTTTTGTAAAAGTCCCACATCCCGTACTCTGTTAGCATACAAACAGCCAACAAATCCCTGGACACAATGGGATCACAGTGAAGGGTGATCATCTCCAAACTCCCCTGGGTGGGGGATGGAGCCAGATAGCTGACAAACAAGCCACCTCTCTTGTACTCTATCAGGGTTCTCCCTACGGCCAAGATCACGTTTCAATTTGGGTGCAAATTCCTGGAGATTGCTTAAGGCTCATTGGTAGCATCTTGGACAAATTTTTACCGAAAAGCAAAGATAAATTTCTCTGAGGAGTGCCCAGAGATGTAATGTACTTCAATGTTTAGCCTTCATGTACGGAAAGTGCATTACTTATTTAAGTGTTAATTATGTGATGTTTAACAGTGACCCTAAAAGATGTTTTTCCATCAAATGAAAAGGATACCCTGTTGGCCAAACCTGTATTTTAAAATTTAAACAATGTGCACACTACCTCAATATTCCCCACTACACCAAGCAATGCGGTCATTTCTCTAGAGAACATCTACAGAGGAAATGTACAGCATTCACAGGTATCCTTGAGCATGGTGACACGCAAACACAAGGAAAAAATCCAGATTGTGTAAACAGTATCCTTGAAGCTTGAGACAACATAAACAGCAAATGAGATCCATCTCATTGCTCTAGTTAAAATCCCACAGGCAAGGTGAAGAATAATCTCGAAAAAATGTCTATTGTAGGCCTATAACTGGGCACTGTTAGCGGAGGGAGTCCAAAAAGACCAACATTTTTAGTTTTAGAAATTTTAAAACTACAGTGTCTACACACACAAAAAATTACCAAAAAAATACCATGAGATGATGGAGTATTTCTTTCCCTTGACAGGACTTTTGTTCTGTGTGATTTGGACTTTTTGTTTAAAAGTTATAGCAAACCAGACTGTCAAACTATGTTTTGACCACTTTCTTATAAATTGTTCACAACACCTTCTTGGTATGTGAATGCCCTTTACAATCTGAAAAGTGGCCCAACATGGAATTCTAGTCCTTTCATTTAATTAGCTGTATCTCTAGACTGGGGTGTCCAAATGAGACGGAATAAAGTCTATTGTGTAGAGTATTTACTACACCTTTAGACTCTATGGATAAGTTTTGCAAATAGAGAGTGTCATCTTCAGAAGCTACCGGTGTTGTAGCTCTGTACTTACAGAGCTGCCTCCTCGTTCAGACAGCTGGCACCCTTTGTGTCTGCTTTCATTTTCAAAGATTCAAGCAGGGGGATTACACAGTTTAACCTTGAGTGACCTTTGTCGTGATTTAATGGACATTTTTGTCAACAATTCAAATCCTGGTGGCCATGCTTCACAATTTCCCATTTTACGTCTTTGTAGGTTTTCTGATCTGCACCTGGACATTATGATTATGATCTGGTCATTATCAATGAGGATGGAAATTTTTGAATGCAAGGCCTTGGAATCATCTCTCAGAACTGGAACCATAGAATGGAAGATAAAAGGAAAATTCAATACTATGTTGAATGCACACAACCACTCGAGCTGAGTACATGTATGAATAACAGACTATAATGTATAAGTACCGGTAACACACGTGTCTCTGGAAGCAGCTGAAACCACTCCCATTGACGCATGCGTTATTGAGATGTAACCAAGTTATAATTCAGATTATCCTTATAATTATGTAAAAGACAGAATGGTCTTCTGTATAGTACCGGTAGATACATGTGTATGTACTTCATAGGAAAAAAAAAACAAGCAGTATGCCTAAATCTGAAGGGTGCGCATTCTCATTCAAATAAATGTACGAAAGCCAAAATCCGACTTATTTTTTTTTTAAGGGAAAAACTACATGTATCATCCTTTCATTTAGAATTAAACAGAAAGAACATTTGGTGTTTCAGGGAAAGCTTTGGGCGTCTAACTTCCAATGTTTCTGAAATGTTGCCATTTCTACAATCCCAGAGAGATTTCCAAAGAACAATTCAAATTTGTATTCCCCAAATTTCTTGACAAAGCATTGATCAGCATTTCGTACAATGTACGGCAACACCGCAAAAGAAGACAATAAGTAAATGTGGTACATGTACATCAACAAAAAAGTGGTACATCAACATACTACATGTACGTATATCCCTGTACAGAATCTGCCTCTTCCCCCACCCCTCCCCCTGCGGCCACGGACCACTTGGTCCCTCCCTGACTGGCCCGTGTATTCTTGAGAAGGTGCTGTTGCATCAGGATTAGCCCGTGTGATGCTAGACTGCCAAGAATCAATATTTGCATGTTGGTCACTTCTTTTCAAAGTCTGTGCCTTGTTGTGACACTTTCTCTTCCCTCAACACATTGGCTGCAAGCTTCACATAGGACTGCACAAACTGGCTTTGTGCCAGGCTGTTCAAACATTAGGTCTAATCCTAAAACATTTATGCTGTTTCAAGTGGTGCCTAACCGAAACGAAGATGCGCGTGTTCAAACTTTACTATTCATGACAAAGTTATCTTACTAAATACTTACACATGTACCTTTTCCAAATAAAATCTGCAGCATGAATAAATTGACAAAGAAACTTCCTACCGCTTCAAACTGTACAGCTTGTGGAAAAAGATAACTATTTTATATTTCAAAATTGTTTATAATTATATATGGTTTTGTCAATTGTTTTGTTTAGTAATGATGATCCACTTGTCACCTTTATACTACCAGTATACATGTACTTACAGCATTGTATCCTATACTTTTAGACTGACCAAAGCACACTTTCACGATATCTTCCTTATAAATCCTGACAACAATGCAGATATTCAGAGTATGTAGGGTACTAAATCTCTGAGAAAATATTGTGACAATAACCTCCATCTCAACATGTGCCTTGCGAGGTGTCGTCAGTCTCTTTGTAGAAATTTCAACAGGGATTACCGGCAAGGATTTCAGAACCAAGAACTGCTGGTGTTGTGAGTGGTCAAAGGGTTTAAATGCTTGCAGTAATTGGGCCTGCATTTAGGGTTATCACACTAAATTGGATTTAATTGTGGCTTTTCAGACCATTGGGCAATTCTAATGCCAGCTAAATATATTCACACATGTTTCGGCCCTGCTGTGAATGTGGTCTGTTATTTGCAAATTGTGTATTGAATGAGTAAAGTGGGAGAGATTTAAAACTTGTCAGGATTATCGCTTTGCTGGGATCATGAATTACATGTATAGTGAGACTGAACAGTGTATTGGTGACATTATTAAAAAGAAAACTGGACATATATTTGAGTCATTGGTTTCAATGTTACATGAGTAATCTACTTTGCAAAACTACACCCTAAAAACAGATTGGTTGAAATAACCAATAGATTGGTAGATATGTGTCCAACCAATCTCGGTTTGGTTGGACACATACATGTAAATGTACATACATCTGTACCAATCCTAACAATCTATTGGTTATTTCAACCAATCTGTTTCTAGGGTGTAGTGTTTGGCCAAAAAGAAAATAGGGTCAGTAAAAAAAAAGCAGGACAAATTAGAATCTTGGTTTAAATGTGGAAGTAAAGGACCAAAAACTACTTGGATTAGCCATTTTCCACAAAAGAAAGTACACAGAAAAACACTGACAGGGGCATCTAAAGTTCAACGGCGGTAGAACTGTTGTTTCTAGTTACTTGTCAAAAGGTATTTGTCACACCTGTCCTGATGTGTATTCTCCTATACTGCCTTTATTTATTTTCACCTTGGCTGAGCCGTTTCCCTCAAACATTCCACAATTTTTTTTCATGATATGGAATACATGTAGCATGACTGCAAGGGTAATACCAATTGGTATCGGGCGCACGTACACCGAGCAGCCATTGCTTTTTGTTCTCCTGGCAAAGTTCAGTGTTGGCGCGCTGAATAGACCCAACCGAGCGCAAGACTGCGTGACCCTTTTGAATAGCACGAGGGGCTTCATTTCACCCTCCAATTGGTAATCTAAACTGGGGGGAGAGGGTGTACCGAGTCTGTCTGTGTTGACACTAGGCTCCTAAGCTGTATCCCGACGCTGTTTTGATTTCGGCAGATGAATTCAGTGGTTTGTGCTTGCAGTCATATCTCACTTTATGTAGGCTATTATGCAGGCTACCCAGGTACATCTCTGTGCTGTATAAACATTCAGACTTCCCCTCAGATTTATTAAAACTTGTTTACACTGCCACTTTTATACACTGCTTGAAAAGATCTTATGATTAGCTACGATTAGCTTTGTAGAGGCTCTTTTTTCAAAAAAGCACTTCTGTTGAAAAGCTCTGTAAACTTTTAGCAAGCCCAGACATCAATAAATTATTCCTGATTACATGTTTACAATTTCCTTTTACACTAGATCCAAAATCTCTATGTTTAATATTGAATTTATCCGGTTTTGGATATTTTGGGGGTTTTTTGGGGGGTAAGTGTTGTTTGTTTTTAAATCATGATTTCAAAGAACTCACCTGAGACCTGTATTCCCATCTCAATTGTCTGCGGGATGTCAGTACCCTTCAACCTGGAATTCAGTCTGATACCTCCTGTGGTACCATTCAGGATTAGGTGGTTGTTGGCATTGCCTCTGATGATGACATACTGGAGCGTGTCCGACACATCAGGATCATGAGCAGGAACCTGTCCAATGTCACCATCGGGGAAGAAGCCTTCGTAGTTGTTGAAGTAGATGTCAAAGTCTTCTAGGATGGGACTGTTGTCGTTCTGGTCCAGGACGTGGATGTTGACTGTGGCCACGTTGAAGAAGGGAGTGGAGGTCGCCTTGACGGTGACGCTGTACTCACTCCTGGCTTCATAGTCCAGCTCAATTAGGGTGGTCAGTTCCCCGGACCGGCTGTCAATCTCAAAGAAGTCCAGGTCGCCTTCGATCAGGGAGTAGTGGATCAAAGCATTGTAGCCCTCGTCCGGGTCGTTGGCGACGATGGTGGAGACCAGTTCGCCCGGGTTGCGGTTCTCCTCGATGTACACGTCCATTTCGTCTCGGGGAAACTCTGGCGGGTTGTCGTTCTCGTCCCGTAGCCGGACGGTGATTGCCACGGATTCGCGGTGGGTGGGACGGCCACCGTCAACGGCAAATGCGACCAGGTTATATTCGGCTTTGGCCTCGCGGTCAAGACGGAGGGCAGTACGGATGATGCCAGAGGTTTCGTCAATGACGAAGGCGCCGTTACCATCATTGCCATTGTTGAATGTGTAGGAAATCTGGCTGTTGGTACCTGCATTTAGAAAGGAAAAAAAATCCAGAAACACTATAAAATAACATAATTATTATATACAGAACCATTAAAATGTATCTTGATTCACATATTAAAACTCTACTGAATGCATTAAAAGCTAAAATCAGCTGCGTAAATTCTGTCAAATCCAACAAAATGTTAGATCTTGGTAGATTCAGCAGAGTTCAGATTTACAGAAATGGGAATAACCCCCACTGTTGTACCATCTTTCGTTTTTTTCTTTTTGTCTAGTCTTCTACCACCCCCAATAAGTAATTTAATTTGACAATTCCATCAGGGAACAGTGTCAGCAGAGCAAACACACAATCAATTTAGGGCCAGGCTGGCTGGCAGGCTGGGTCCCACCATGGAGCTACATGATGTACCATGGGCCCAATCTCCCCTAGCCAACCCAGCGATGACTACACGGAAAGCCTCATCCATCAATCAAACTCAAAGAGAGAAACAGGCACAGTCCAATTATTATCGCAGACTCCCTCTCAACCAGATTAATTTGTGCATGGAAGTGTGTGTGGAACGATATTTGGATGGCAGGCGAAAGAAAAAAGCCCGAAGGGTAGGTGGGGGGGGGGGCTGAATTTCTGCAACTGTTGTTGTCATAATGAGATATCACAGAAGAAACCCAACACTTTTATGGGTTTTTTTTTAATGCAGAACCTTAATCATTCTGCCACTGCATGGATGTGAATTTGTTTGATAAAAAATCAGGGCTGTGCCTCTGGGTAGGATTTAAAAAGGAAAGAATAACTAAAATGAAAACCTCTGGTGCCCAGTTGACAACCAGGGTTAAAGTGTTTTGCACTTGCAGATGGAAAGCTGGAGAGGATGCCCATGGGCAGGGTTTAAATGGGCCATGTAGTAAAGGGTCATTTTACATTGTGCGTCCCCATTACTAGGTCAAACCTCAAGGGGATTTATCTGCTGTTGTTGTTATCAACAAAGGATTGGCAGCTACATGTGCATGTGTAGCAGACTGATTGGAACATGTACACACCTACAAATGTATGCGTGTGTTAATGGTGTACATGGAAGACACACACATGTATGCAAAATCATCGATAAATCGAGGACAGAAACCGAATCGAGCACTCCTTGATCGGAAAACGTGGAACAAAAGAAAATCCTCGATTTACACCATAAACAAACGTGTCTACAAGTACGTACATTACAAGGAAATGAATGCATGTCTCCACCATGCAGACAGTTTAGTTTGATAATTAATTTTTTGTTGGTTTATGTCTGGCCATTTAGGAATCAATTCCCCATCTGCTTTTTATGCAATTTTATGTACAAGTTTGCCAAATGAACAGGTCTTACCGGTACAACTACATTGTAAATAAATTCTGATTTAAAAAAATTGCACAACATATTTTAGCCCTTTTTAACTTTGTACATAATAAGTATACGTGTACCAGCAAATGGAAAGTTTCATATCCATTGTTTCTTTTGATACAATTTATGAGGCTGCATTCATAATACTGTATTAAAGTATCTACATGTATTTAAACATTAAATATAAGGTTAAGCAAAAAAAAGTATGTCTTTCCAGTTTCCAGTGTCTATGTTCAGTCATGGTGTTTTCTGTGTGGCTTTTTGGGGTATTTTTTTAAACTCAAAATTCAGCTTTTAAAAAGTGAAAAAAATGAAAAGTTGTCAGTTTCATTCAACCTTGCTTTTTTGATGAATTTAAAACAGTAGCACCTATATAACACTGTATTAAATTGTACAACATTGTATTACAATGTATTTATTCACTGATGATTTTAGAAAACCAGGGAGTGGTTTGGGACAGTTCAAGGTGTAATGCATGTACCGGTACCCATGGCAGTTTAGGGCTGTACAGGGACTCTTGACTTTCAAGTACAGTACATGTTACTTTTGTACATTTTAAAAGAGTTGTAAAGTACTGGTAAAATGTACATGTACAATGTATCATGGACTGGAGGAATAAGAACATACACGTGTACGCATAGTACATGTTTGCACATAGGCCTAGTCATTAATTTTTTAATTTTTTACTTTTTTCATTTTATGTGCATGAACCCTACTTCAGTTAATAGAATGCACGTAAAATTGTTCCTGGAAAAACTATGACTGTGCTCACCCTATGACAACCCTGTATCACCCCTTGCACAACACTAACCTCAACTAAAGTATGTACACACTACATTATCTCAAATCTTATCAGAATTTGACCCATGTACATAAAGCTGCTTGTGAAGTGTACCCTATTGTGCGCATGCTATTGTGCTGCATGCTGTTATTTGATCACACTTAATATGTAATGAAGAATCTTGGGGATGGGTAAAAGCCGGGGATGTGATAAATCTTTGTGCTTTGTTTGCCAATGTATTGTGCCTTTTGGGATTGGGGAATACGTGACTATGTGGCAGGGCCCAGTTTTAGTTTTAAATTTGGCCCTGCCACAACTACAGGATACCTGACTACATGTATATGTGTTCAAGTTTGATATGAGGAGTTGAAACTTGGTCCAAAGTCTTATTTACTGTTGAATACTTTACACTGCTGCCCATAATACAAAGGCTCATGCAGGAGTATGCAACAAATGCATGTACATGTAATACCACTTTTGTGCCAAGTCTAGATGTTTATTACACTGACAAAATGGCCTGGCTACATGTACCGGCATACATGTACATGTGTGCGTGTATAGTGGAAACAAAATTTCCTTTTGTTGTTATTGGTAACTACAGCTGTATACATGTAGGGGCACTTCAAAACAAAAAATGTACATGTACTACCGGTATACATGTACGAAAAACTCATGTATGATGGACATGTATGTAAGAACATAGAAACATGTACATGTACAGTGTATTTATAAAACAAATGTTTAAATCATAAAAATATGTAGGCCTACCGGTACATGTACATAATGTACCCAATATGTACACAGTTTGGGCATCATTTTACATAAAAATCAACATGGACAAGTCCCTCTGTTGCCTGGCTATTGATCAATGTATTCAAAGTCTGCTGGTTTTACAAAGTCCATTTCCTTTGTTCCTTCTTCACTTTGAAATACAATGTAAGTAAGTTGTATAACAATAGATGGTATGTGCAGAGTACCTGTATGCACACTGCTATCATGTACTGTACAGTGTACATTGTGACATATATCCACATTTTCTACATGCCAAGATTTACATACATATTGTACAGTGTACAGGTACATCATGTCTAAATTGAAAAAAAGAAGCTATTTTTTCATTTTCGTTTATTTGTCATTTTTTTGTATACGGGTGTTTAGCATTCAAAAGGGCATTTTATTTTGACGGATCGTATATATGTCATCACACTTATTTTCATCTTTTACTGAATACACTGCAGTTTGTACATTATGTATGGATGTACCCTGTATAAGATGTACTGTACAATGTACACATTTTTGTACAGTTCTAACATGCAATTCAAAATAAAAAAATCTAAGCTTACTGTATACAACACTATGGAAGTGAATTTAGGACATCCAGGTAAAGAGAATACTATTTCTTAGTAGCCCACTTTGACTGTTTCGTGCAAATTGCTATTTAATTGCTATTTCGCATTGCATACAATGTGCTTAAATTTGCACACCTGATTTTTTATTTCGTATACACACCCATACACATGTTTGTATACAAAGTAATTTGAACACAATGTATGTAAAATAGTAAATCATATTTGTGTGCGAAATAGAAATTACCATGTACGAAATAGTAAGTCACATGTGTGAAATAGAAAGTTGTATGTAAGAAATATACGAAGTAGTACATGTACATTAAAAAAAAAATTATCGTGTCCGAAATATACTTCCACACAAAAAATTTGGCTAGGAACCTTACCAAAAAAAAAAACCTGTTGGACTTGCAGGCTTTTCAATTTCTAGGTGGCACAATTTACTGCCTAGTGCAAAATTTAACACTGTGCATAATTTCTCTTCCTCTGGCCTACTCATCCAAGTATCGAATGAGCTAGTATTATTATAAGATGACACCATCACCTGCCTGCTGCGATACAACAGGTGCATGTAATTGATTTAGGGGGATGTTATAAGGAAGATCGCACTGAATGCAACAGCAGTAATAAACAATCTACCACACTACTGAAGAGAGAGGCCAACATTTTGCAGGAAAAATCACTATCTCCCATGTTCAAGGCAAGAAGTACAATGCATTACCCGAGGGAGTACATAGCTTTTAACTTATGGTACTGGTTTACATTGCGGCTGGGTCAATCGCCTTGAATTCTTCAGACAATTCTAAGGAATGTTAGCAGGGCTCCCTGGAGCTTAGCCTTGCCATCCAGTCAGTATGTGCATTCATGATGCCAGGCATATCATGGTCACATTGACTGATCATATTGATAACCAATCTGAATTCTGATTTTATTGAATAAAATCTACCATTTTACATAGTACAATGTGTATGTAATCACTGTGATTTAAAGATGATTATAGCAGGTTTCTTTCTATTGCACAGCACTATACTGGTACATGGTAAGCCTATTTGTTCGTTTGAACAAAGACAAGCAACAAACAACTGGAATTTACTACAAATGTAGTAAATAGTTAAATATGACACTTTGTATCAATTTCAGGCTTTGTTCATGAAGTACGTTTTGGTCATTAATAATTTGTTAAATTGCCCACAGATTATTTCATCAGCCTAATGGACACTCACGGTTCTGCTAACTGCCTTTTAACAGATGTTAAAATTACAATCGGACAACAACATTTTTCCGTCAACGTACATTTTCCTTTTTTTTATATTTTGTTTTGCTATTGCGACCAAAAAAAAACCAAAAAAAAAACGATTTGCTCTTGCTTAAAAGTTCACTCTTCATACATAAAACTATGTCGCATGAGTGTGTACATTGTAGACCTGTCTCTTTCACATGACCAGTGAATTTAAGTCTGTTGCCTTGTGTCTGACAGCTCCCTGTAGTGTAGAGTTTAATTTCACATCCCAATTAAAGGCAACACAGGCATAATCAAGTTAATTCCGGTTGACATTACCTGTCACTTTCTTCTCAGCATGTAACTCATTAGAAGGGTGCAAAATCCAATATTGGAAACTGAATGTTTTGTCCCTTGCTTTACTAAAGGAATTGGTTGAAACCAAAATCAATTGAATTTGAATGAAATTTCTTGATCCATTTGGTTTTTTTCCTTTATATTATTTGCAAGAGTATTGGTTATTGCTATTAAAAGGGCAACTAATGGTGTGAAGCGTACTGCAAAATAAGTCTTCAAAATGCAGAGAAACATTAACCCTGACTCCCTAGGCCTTTTTGCTAGGATGTAGCCTCAATCCTGCAAAATCCTCCAATTGGCCTCATGGAAAAATAGCATATAGCCTCAATCCTGCAAATTCCTCCATTATTTCTTGAATATGGTCCATGGAGGGATGACCACTGCCTGAATCCTGCAAAATCCTCCGGCTATGTCTGTCATTAGGCTGAGGCAGAGGCAGTGACATCCTGGAGCAGTGCGGAGGATGTCAAGTATAATCAAGGACTAAATTTATGCACGGCTGAGCATAAACAACACAAGGTCCGGCCCAAGACCTTGACACAGTGCGTACTCCGAAATTAGCAACGCACTTTTGCCATGTAACCTTAATCCTGCAAATTCCTCCAATTTGCAAAAAGGATTTTGGAGGATTCAGGGCGGTTAGGTTTAAGGGCGTGAAATAGAATATCTCAAATTATCTTGACATGAAAACATTTTGAAATATTACGCATCAAACGTTGGTTCCGCACTAACTGAAATGTAAATGTGTACTGAAAAAATATCCAACATTTTCAGTGTACTGTTACAGCTGTCAGGAAAACGGCACTTGTAACTCACCGAACATTTCTCAGTGGTAATGCCTCTGGTTATGCCAACAGAATCAAATTTCAAATCCTGACATAACTGTTGAACAATGGTTTAATCTGGACAAAGAACGAACGCATAAAATGTGACACTCCTGTCCATTCTAATAAGGCAGCACACCAGTTCGCTGTCTAGTCTGCTTTGATTTCTGCCCCGAGTGTCAAAACAATATTATTAAATCTTCATGCATTCTGGAGTGGGAATGAGAATGGGAACTACCGATGTACATGTTGTAGGTGCAGGATAGCTTGTCTTTTGTTTTCTCCCTTTTTTTTGGGTGGTGGAGTATTCCGGACTTGGATTGGATTTCAGGGTTTGGGGTTTAGGCTTGGGCCGCCAGTCAGTACGTTGGGGATAGGTTTACATGGGGGACCGATGATAAGAGGGGTAGACAATGCCACAGAAAAAGTAGGCCTATACGTGTGCGTATATGATATAAATATGATGCTGACTTTTGCTAATAAATGCAAAACTGGCAGGCTTTCATGAAATAGGATAGTTTCAGTGCAATTTGGCAAAGTAAGAGCACACATTTACCGACTATAGGCCTACATACATGGTGAAAGATGTACAATGTAAGAGATGAAGTAGTCAACCACTGACTCAGTGACGGAATATTCCACATTCAATGATGCGACATAAAAATTAGGCATTTGTGAGTAAAGTCAGAAAAAGGTCAAAGAGAATATGATCACGTAACTGTGCAGTCACTACAATGACTAAAGTGGAAATCATCTGTCATTAAATAGCAAAGCAAGGCAAAGTTTATACATTTCTGTTCAAAGATAGACAATTTATTTGTGGGCCTATGACAATTATTGGGCCGATCACAGACAGCATCTTTCACTTGGTAAATAGGGCGTGATCCTCTAGAGCTACATGTACGTTTATGGCTTCTAACTAGCACCCTTGAAGTTGAACAAAGAGATTGACTACACAATGTACATGTAGGTGGTGAGCTGCCAACATACATGTAGGGCTGGATAGCTCAGTTTGTAGAGTGCCAGTACAATAATCCACAAGTCCCGGGTTCAAACCCTGCTCCAGCTAATTTCTTTGTTCAACTTGCAGTATTTTGCATTTTCAATGGTTTATGATGAATTTCAAGTTGTCATTCCTGAATTTATAGGCCTACATGTTGCAATGTATGTTGATTACATTTGAAATGATAGTGGTTGTATAGTGCATTCTTTAGAGAAGTCTGACACTCACCTTCATCAGCATCTTCTGCTTCAATCTGTATGACCATGGATTGAGGACTCGCACTCTCACTGATCTCAGCGGAGTATGCATTCTCTGTGAAGATTGGCGGGTTGTCATTGATATCCGTCAAGAAGATTTCCACTTCTGTTGTGTCTATCTGTGGTTCTACTCCATGATCAGTCGCCGTCACATGAATAGTGTAACTTGACGTAGTCTCGCGGTCCAGTGCAGCCCTGGTTTTGATCTCACCGCTGTTAGGGTCAATTTCAAAGTTTGGTATGCTATCCATGGAGTATGTGATGCGGGCATTCTCGCCAACATCACCATCCGTTGCATGAACTTGGACAACGACATATCCGACAGCGACATTTTCAGCCACCTCGGCTCTGTATGGTGACTGGTCAAACACAGGCCTGTAGGTGTTGGCGTCTGTGACATTGATGTACACCAGACACATGCTTGATTGTTCATTGTCAGACGCCGTTACCGTCAGCACAAAGCGTGGCTCCTGCTTGTAGTCTAAGGGCAAAGCAACTGAAATCATTCCTCGATTGTTCTGGCTGATGATGCTGAAGCGGTTTCTACTGTTGCCTGCCGTGATCTGGTAGGAAACACTATTTCCTACATCAGGATCATCGGCAGAGACAGTCACCACAGTCAGTCCTGGAGAAGCATCCTCATCTACGCGACCAAAGTACTCATTCTGTGTAAAAACTGGCGCATTGTCATTAACATCAGTAATTCGCACAGACACTTCAGTTGTCGCTGTTCGGGGTGGGTCACCTTGATCACTTGCCACAACGGTAAACTCAAACAAGTCAGATGTTTCTCTGTCCAGCAGCATGGAAGTTGTTATCTGTCCACTTTCTGGATTGATAGTGAATGGAAGTGCAGCATCAGAATCCTGAATGCTGTAGGTGATGCGAGCGAACTCACCAGAGTCGCCATCAAACGCATTCAATGTGATAACAGATGTATCAACGCGAACATCTTCTCGTACCGATGTTTGATACAGGGTAGTAGGGAAGCGTGGCGAGTTGTCATTGACGTCTTGCACATTGACTATGACACGTGTAGAGTTGGAGCGTGCCGAGCGCCCACTGTCCTGTGCACGCACAACCAACTGATAGGATTGTGTATTTTCGTAATCTAATTCTGAAGTCAGCATAATTTGTCCGTTATATGCATCAATAACAAAATGACCCTGACCACCAACCATGCTATAACGTATCTCAGCATTTGATCCCTCATCTCTGTCAGTGGCTGTTATCGTGTGAATGATGACATTTCGTGGGGAATCTTCAGGAATGTTGACTTCAAACGTACGCCTTGAAAACTGTGGGTAGTTGTCGTTCTCATCTAAGACAGTTACCAAGACTCGGGCGGTTGTATTCAGAGCACCGGGATTTGTACCAAGATCCTGAGCAAGGACTATCAGTTCATAATTGGCAACGACCTCACGGTCCAGCCTTGCACGGGTGGTAATGATTCCTGTCCGGCTGTTGATGTTAAATGCATCATTAGGAGGTTCTGGGTTGATGATACTGTAACGAACCTCTGCATTAGATCCAGAATCACCATCACTTGCATGTAACTCATGCAAGGTTGTGCCAGCAGGCTCATTTTCCTCAATCTCAATGTGGTACTCGGTCAGTTCAAACTCCGGCCTATGATCATTCAAATCATCCACCATTATTTGCAGGAAGGCGTCTGTACTCCGCTGTGGTGATCCATGGTCAGTGGCAGTGATCTGAAAGTAGTGCTCTTCGATGCTTTCTCTGTCAAGCCGTTGGGTCGTCGTGATGATTCCACTTTCTGGGTCGATACTGAACATGTTCTGACTTCTAGCATCACGCTCAGCAATCATTGAGTAGGTAATTCGCCCTGCATCCCCACTATCGGAATCTGAGGCTGTGATGGTCATGACGATATATCCAACAGCTTGTTCCTCGGGAATATTCACAATGTACATTCCTTGCGGGAAGTTTGGACTGCGATTACGCCGTGCCTGTCTTCGAGCTCGGGCAGCACTAACACCAGGCTCAGGTGATTCTGCTGCAGCTGCTCTGGGAAACATACTTGTTCCAATAGCTCGGAGATCAAGTTGTACGTGAATCCGCACGCCTGTGTCAGGGTTATGGTGTTGATGGTGGTAGTAATGCATGCACGGTGGGGCAAACTCCATAACGACTGATAAATGTTTCTCGTCCGGCCTGTGCATGCAGAAGGAACTCTTTGGAGAAATAACTTCCCCATTGTTCGGTTTCACCGACAACATGGGGTGTTCTGTCTTCTGCTTGTTCAGAGTGTAATTCACCGGACAGTGTGAAGCAGAACTAGGAAGGAAGTCATTCATTGAAAGTATTACTTCCTCTGAGTTCCAACATGAGCCAGTAGGGATATCCATGACAATAAACTGCTTATCATGATCTGAAACTAGCTTCTGATTGGCGTGTTCCTGTCCTTTTGAATGTTGTTTAGTTTTCTCCTTTTTGGCATGTTTCAATTTACAGTGCCCACCATGAATGTGAACCGCGACAGGGACCTGGACGAAAATGCTGGACTGACCATCGTCAAAACTTGAAATATAACTAGTCCTGCTGGTCCTTGCTTCAATATGCAAAAGGAATGGATTTTCGTGCAAAGTTGTGCAGTTGATATCTCTGCGCAAAGTAAGAATTCCAGTGTTTTGGTCGAGCCCGACGAGATGACTTGCTTGCTTTGAGGCACTGGTCTGAGAAATGCTGTACAGCCAACGCTGTCCATCACTCGGAAGGCTCAGGTTAAATATCGGCGTTCCCGGCAATGTCATGTGGGAAATGTGGGCATTAAAAGTAGCCCCAAGACACCCAGGAAAGATGGCAAACACCAAACACCACAATAATACAAAGTGTGCCATCGTCCGTTGGTTTAAAACACGGCTACGCCAGTGTACACTCAGTCTATTCATGATCCATTCACACAATGTATTGCCCGCCGTACGTGTGTCGCAACACACGGCGCGGACAACCGGCCAAACCGACGAGCTTTAGAGAATGTTTTACAAAATTTCTACACGATTACAAACCAAATTCGATGGACTGTCCTCCGAAAGTAGTCTTTTTACGTCGTTATGTCCATTTTCAGAAGATTAATTCTTTACATGGTGGAAATAATCGTCCCAAATCCCCGAGTATGGCTGCCGGTAGTTTCTACCCGTCGATGCTTTCGCTATTGTGTTGTTCAAAATGGCTGCGTTTCGGCTGCACTTGGATCTCAATTGACTGACATGCGTTCAGCTGTTCTTTGCCCCTCTGGAATATAGAGTTTTTGCATCATTTAATATTCAAAAATATATCTTAGCAACACTTTGATGTATTTCAGTTAAATAATATATTGATAAATTGTATATCTCCCAAATATAATCTTTCAACTGGTTATTATATGAACTGCGATGGCACCGATACTGAAATCCTGCTATGTAAGTTTAGTAAATAGAATGTCGCATCGAGGAGTTTGGACCAATCAAGTTGCGCAAAAGATGAACACCGTTTCCACAAGAATTTGGTCTCCGCCCACCTGTCCTCACCTGTCGTGAGGTTTTGCTTTGTGGTTTCACGACAAAGTAAGTAGCACAAAAGAAAGTCCCCATCCTCTGACCGCTGTTTCTCAATTTCTACATCTCTCTTTTTTTGTTTTTAAGACAGAAGGATATTTGGGGTATATTTTTGAATGATCCCGTTCTTTTTTTTACAAGCTAATGAGGGCGCTCTTTTGCACTAGTGTGAGTTAGGGGTGCATACCTGCAAATAAACTCCCATAGACACTAGTGCTAAATGCCCGTACTTCAAAATTCTTTTAAAAATACTCAAAACTCTCACAGGTATTCAAGCTGCACAGAAAAATGATGATCAATGTGTCATCTTTCATTTTCTTTTCAATTTATGGTGGGTTGACCATTGACTTTTCGAAATATTTTCACGCAAAGAAGACGACCCCTGTTTTCCCCAAAACGGAAAAGTAGCCATCTTGAAAAACGATCCCTCCACAACATGGCAAAATAGCGCCACTTTCGAGCCCAATAGCATCCAAAATGCTCAGAATTGGAAGCCCCAAGTCCGGGCCAGAGGTTCACTACCATATCCCTTCCATTCCCCAATTTTACGGCGCTCAGAACTCTCTAATATAGAATATTTTGAGGGTATAACTTTTATTCATGAGCTTGGCGGATCGATTTACAGGTGTGTACCCTATAATAGCAGGCAACTTTTAAATTTTAACACAAAATCACATTCAGGACAAGCAGAATATCTCCAAAGTCAATATTTTGAAAAAAAAAATGAAAGAAAAATATTATCCGAGGTAGATATTAAGCCCGAAAATAGTGATTGTTTTGCCCCTGCTAAGCTGTAGAGCGCCCCCAGCGACAATAAATTGAGTTCCAGCTACTTTTAAGCTCAAAATGCCCCCCCCCCCCCTTTTCAAGTATCAATTGTTGTAATCGGGTGATAGCCTACTGCTCCCTTATGATTTGGAAGCATCCGTTACGGCAAAAAAACCTTGTTGATACCTTTAAAACACTTTTTCCCCCTCCCCGTAGGTTCCGCCCACTGAAAAGACCACTGCCGCGGCACAGCGCATGCGCGAAACGGCCATCTTTGTGATTCTTTATAATAGCAGGCAACTTTTAAATTTTAACACAAAATCACATTCAGGACAAGCAGAATATCTCCAAAGTCAATATTTTGAAAAAAAAAATGAAAGAAAAATATTATCCGAGGTAGATATTAAGCCCGAAAATAGTGATTGTTTTGCCCCTGCTAAGCTGTAGAGCGCCCCCAGCGACAATAAATTGAGTTCCAGCTACTTTTAAGCTCAAAATGCCCCCCCCCCCCCCTTTTCAAGTATCAATTGTTGTAATCGGGTGATAGCCTACTGCTCCCTTATGATTTGGAAGCATCCGTTACGGCAAAAAAACCTTGTTGATACCTTTAAAACACTTTTTCCCCCTCCCCGTAGGTTCCGCCCACTGAAAAGACCACTGCCGCGGCACAGCGCATGCGCGAAACGGCCATCTTTGTGATTCTTTATAGGGTGCATACCTGCAAATAAACTCCCATAGACACTAGTGCTAAATGCCCGTACTTCAAAATTCTTTTAAAAATACTCAAAACTCTCACAGGTATTCAAGCTGCACAGAAAAATGATGATCAATGTGTCATCTTTCATTTTCTTTTCAATTTATGGTGGGTTGACCATTGACTTTTCGAAATATTTTCACGCAAAGAAGACGACCCCTGTTTTCCCCAAAGCGGAAAAGTAGCCATCTTGAAAAACGATCCCTCCACAACATGGCAAAATAGCGCCACTTTCGAGCCCAATAGCATCCAAAATGCTCAGAATTGGAAGCCCCAAGTCCGGGCCAGAGGTTCACTACCATATCCCTTCCATTCCCCAATTTTACGGCGCTCAGAACTCTCTAATATAGAATATTTTGAGGGTATAACTTTTATTCATGAGCTTGGCGGATCGATTTACAGGTGTGTACCCTTAGGGGCTTGCGAACTGGGCTGAACAATTGCTGGCTATAATGGGGGACGAAATAGGGGACCTTTTGAAAGGTAACTGTGGACACACGATTTCAAAACGCAATGAAATTTCGATCAACTATCTGGAAGGTTATGTTAAAGCTGTATCGTTCTTCATAGAAAAGGCCGCTCACCATATTTAAAGGGAGGGACACGACTTATTGATTAAAATGACACCCCACAATTAATTCTATTTAAATTTGTAGCCTCGAGGCCTCGAAAACGAACACCAAAGGGAAAAATAGAAGATTTCCAATTTATTTGAAACTAAGTGATAAACAAAGATACCTTTTTAATTTTCCTGTGGGAGTAAATTTATATTTTTGATTTGTGTCCTAATTAATGGCTCCTGCTAGAACATTAATATGTTGATTATTTTCAGAGGCGGACTTCAGGAAAGGGTGGGGTGTGATATTAAGGTGGGGGAGTGCCGAGGGCACGCCTTGCTTGGGGTCCGGGGGCTGACCCCCCGGAAAATGTTTGGAAATCTACGATGCTTTGATGGTCCTGCATTCTAAGGCAACTTGAGAGAAAATTTAGGAATTTTAGATTCCATTTATTTTTTGGGGGCCCATTTTACTATACTTTTATAACGTTAGTCGGCGGCTGAACGAGGGGATTGGGGGGGTTGCGACCCCCCCCCCCCCACCATCCGCTACTGATGTTCCCCTCGCCATAACAAATATTTCGGAAGTCGTGGTACTGGCTGCATGACGATTGAGTTTTTCCCTTCCAGTTGTAATTCATTTTTTTGGGGGGGGGGGGGGGGAGGGGGTGTGAAGACTAACGTTCGTACCCGGGTAACCCACCCCATCCCCGCTGTTGAGATGTTGAATCGATAACAGCAGAGGCGGATCCAAAATTTTTTAAAGGGATGGCTGGGATATTGAAATCTTTTTGGGGGTAATTAAACGTAGGATGATTCGACGGCTCCGGAGGCGTTGCAGAACACATACGACCGGCTGGCTCGAAGATTAGAACGAGGGATTCAATGATGTCAGTAATTAACAATAGGGAGAGGGATGGTTGGCCACCCCTTCCACCCCCCCCCCTTGAATCCACCCTTGGTCGATAAAAGGATGACAAACTTGACAATCAGTCCGATAGGTTAAGGCATGCGGGAACCAGCGACGTATCTACGGGGGGGGGGGGGCGCCGTGGGGGCGTACCCCCCATAAAAAGTTTGCGCCCCCAGTCGCCTCCGTCCAACTGAAAATTGGGCATCCGAGAAAAGCACATCCGTATGAGCTACCATGACTAGCTTGAAGAACAAAAAGTCCCCCGTTTTCCGCGATTGTGTGCTTTTTTTTTTTTAATTCTGTTTTTTTTTCGTGAGTGTTTTTTTTTTTAATTTTTATTGTAACGTCCCTTGAAAAGCAAATAGCGGTAGCTATTGTCTAACCATGGTGTAATGCACCATGGTCTCATGTAGCGCGCTTTAAACAGCGCCCCCATGGTGAGATGGTGCCCCTCCCCGCACTATTTGATTTTACGGAGGGCGCGTGTCCTGTGAAAAAAAGAAAGAAATGTCTACCTTTCAGCACAATTTTTGGGCGCCCCTCCATTGAAACCTCAAGGCCCCTTGAGGTTTCAAAAGTGTTGGGCCTATTTTTCTATTGCGCCTCCCATCCCCAAATTCTACAAAACGAGTTGCTGTAAAAGTGGTTTGCATAGCAACCTGTACCTCGCCTGGTTTCCTGGTAAGGGTTGATTGCAGGTAACACCATGTCACGGGATTGGATCTCTTATTGGAAGAAGTGTGGTTCACACTCCGATGAGGACGGACAGAGCACACTGTTCGAAACGTCGAGT